AATACATACATAGACACATAAATCTCTTTTGCCAATTTTACATTCAAATTTGATAACCAATTAATACTATTCAACTTAAAATTTATTTCTCGTGGGACGATACTTTTACTCATTACATTATTACTTGTAAACAAATATTAACCAAAAATTCCATCGAATCAAATAACAAATAGAAAAATAATTCATGAGCCAGTATTATTATAAGAAAAGATAAAATATATATAATTTACTTATGAAAAATGAAATATGTAGAAAGATTAAACTTAGATTAGTAACTACAACAACTTTCCATGAAAAATGCTATATCACCACCGTGGTTGACACTGTCAGTGACCGAATGAGGTGGAGATGGAGGGAAAGTGAAATTGAAAATGAAAAGCAAAATGAAGATGGGCCATAATTACTCAAACCGGGTGAAGCCCATATAAAATAAAATGAAAGAAAAAGCGGGCAAACCCAACAATTTCGCGGTAACTTCATCAGTGAATTCCAACACCAGCTGAATCTATCTTCTTCATCTCCGGTGCTCACCAGTCGGATTCCATATTCGGCGTTTCCAATACCAGCTGAATCTATCTTCTTCGTCTCCGGTAGGCTGCTCACCAGCTGGATTCCATATTCGACGTCTCCAATCTCTGTGAATAAGGTAAATCGGGACTCAATTTCGACCACTACAGAATATGCGAAGATGGCAGAAAAGGGTATTTCAAGCGAGACAGAATATGTGAAGATGGCAGAAAAGGGCATTCCACTGTATTTTTTACATTTTTCCTTGTGAGATGTTTAATTTTTAGGATATTTGGGTTGGTTGGGTAAGCTTCGGCTCTGTTTTTTTTAGCAAATGCATTTTATAAAGTCAAGAGACCGAAGGCCCGACCAAGTAATGTGGGAGATGTTGCGACCATCATTCAGGCCCCTCAACAAGCACAAGTTGCCACGCAGATACCGTTGTCATATTCATAACTCCTACTGGTTAGTTACGGTATAAGATTTTCATTCGTTCGATACATATATGATTTAATTATAACTTTATTTGTATAGGGTGGAAACCAATGTCTTGCATTCACGCAACGCTTACATACCTCAAGTTCGATCCATCCATCGTTAACCAATCCTATATTGAATTCACAAGGTAAAGTACCACGCACCTGGTAGTTTAGATGCTATTGTTGTACATTTAAGTTATGTGGCCATAGTTGCTTGACTTATTCTATCGATCTCAGATTATAGTTGGTTGTCTACAGGTGGAGTATGCAACCAGTGCATGATGGTGTTGGAAGTGGAAGACCATCTTCAGGTTTGCATGAGGGAAGAGTTAGTAATGCACCTACAAATGAGGGACCTTCCTTGACATTAGGTGCTTGGCCTGAGGATTTCTAAATTTCCAATTGAAAGTTTTTTGTTAAGCTCAATTTAGTATGGATTTTGGATGAAGATGTTGCATCCAAGCTTCTATATATTTGTTGATACTATGTCTTCCTCTTTTGTATCATCTATTGAGATTGGATTTATGAAATAATGGTTTTTTGAAGCAATTTTGTTTGGTTGGTTATGAATTACTTGATTTTCATAATTCCATATTTCACTTTGAGGAGATTAAAAGGTTGCAAATCTGATCACATAGCACCGGCCAGAGTATATATGGCTAGGATGATGCTTTTGCAGGAGGAAAGTTGTCTTTTTTCTTTTTCAGTTCTTTGACTTTTAACTATTGATTGGATGAATACTGTGTTTAAGTAGGAAAATCAGCAAAGATAGTTATATGTCCTCAAATATGTTACAGAGTAAATTGACAGACAACATTATAAATCTTATATTGGTTGCTGGCTGTCCAGTTGTAAGATTTTCTTTTATTGAAATCTATAATGTGTCTTCCTTCAGACCATTGCTCTTCAGGTATTAAACGAACATCTAAAACTAGAGAGATAATTCCTGCTGGTTTGAGTATTCCAGAAACCAGAAAGCAAATCTGGCATCTTTAAGTATAAGCAATTTACAGTTATAACTCCTACTGGTTTGAGTATTCCAGCTCCCACATGCAACTTGTTTGAGCTATTCCAACTTCACTCCAACAAGCAACTTGCACAACATCAATGCCAACCATTCACAGCAATTCTAATGCAATGCTCTGCAGAAAGCCAACTACTACCAAAATGTTGCCAATCACATATGCAAATTAGGAAAATTCAATAACCATACCACACCATTTTCCTGAGTAACTTAGCAGCACATTGGAATTTGGCAAACAAGGATATCATAACAGAAATTAGCACTAAGTACATAGTGGAATTCCAAATTCATATATTTACAGAATTTAAGGATCTGATTCAGTCTACATTCCTAACTACGACTCCATATATTGACATCAATGACACTACATTTTCATTCAACCATCGAAATCTCGCTTGCTCTTCCATTGCGTATTTTCACCGTCACAGATATCTCAACTTCTTCACAGTTAGGCGGCATCGTGATTTCAACAAGCCAGATAAATCTTCAGCTATTGTGTTCGCAACATTAATGGACCTTGATACTCCACTCGTTTCACTCGCATCAACCCACTCCCAAAATCCACAGTTCACGCTGCAAGAATTGAAGAGTCTACCTTGGTTCTTCGTTTTTTTCTCCACCTCAAAACACTTCAAGAAGCCACAATTGCACCATGGACAGGGGGGTTTAACCCCGTAATTCTCACCTCTCATTGTAAGCTTCGATTTGCTTCGTTGGAGAAGATGGGCCAATGGAGAAGGAAGGTGAGGTTGGGACAGCAGCTGCGATTTTGAGGGTTCCAAAAGGGCGGAAACGGACTTGGGTGATTTAGGTTTAGATGGTGGGGGGTTGAAACGGGTTTAGTCTTTGGGTTGGGTCGGGTCGGGTCGGGTTATTTTAAAATGCATTTTGAAATTAAAAATGGTAAAAGTGGCATTACTCAAACATTTCGGCCACGTCATTGCCACGGTGTTGCAACGTCATCCTGTCAAAGCCTATGTCAAATGCTTCTGGTAATGTAGCGGGACTGACTTTCCATAGGTTACTAAAGCATCATTAATGATTCTTGAAAATATCACCGACAACATTGACATCAGCAATTTCTAATGAAGGTGCATTGATGATCATCGACAATATAGTTGTCAGCAATTTCATCTGAATCACGAACATATATTAATTTCAATTAGAACCATCGATATTTATACCATCAGTGATCATTGACAAGATTTCCTTCAATGATAATTTGCTCTATTATTATTATCATCAAAAAAAGGACGTCTAGGTCTCCCAAATTGTTTTTGAGCCGTCTCTTGTGGCGATTAAAAAGTAAGAACCTTCAACAAGATCACCATCGACACCCAATGATCACTCAACCAAGTAAAGGCCAATTGAAGATGATAAATTCCCCCCTCACTTGTAGAGACAAACTCTTGATTACGGGAGCATGACAAAAGAGACGCCAATCAACCCAGGAAGTACTCGATGCAGACAATGTCATTTTTCAACTATAAAAAGGATCCAATTTGTGGTAATATAAAAACACATGAATATATTTATATCAAGATAACACTCAATTTTTTACTTTCCGATTTTGATTTGAACTTCAAAGAGTCATTGAGAAACACCACTTCTTTGATTTGTCTTACATATTTTTGAAGCTCTCTAGATGAAAAAGGTTGACATTTTTATTTTGATGCCAATATGATTTTTATTCGATTACTTCAGCTGAAACAAAACAATCAATGAAAGATGGGGATTCTCCCATCCATGTCCTATAATGACAGGGCAAAAGGTCATCCAACACGGGAGTATGCTACGCCATTGGCCTCGTGCCTGACAAAACAAACTCGTGCCTGACAAAACAAAAGGGCTTCTTCCTGGGCATGAATGGTCCGCATTTTCTCAATAGCAACGACATCGACATTGCAAGAATGGGATTAAATTTTGCTGATAAATAGTCCTTTAAGCTTGGCAAACTTCAATCTCTCCCAAATCTCATAAATCACTCAACAACGAAAAGGTGAGATCAAATCCCGATATTGATTCCACAAAGGCAACCAAGACCAAACCATCGTCATCCCTGCACACACCTCCAACACCATTGTTCAATCTCACCTTTCATTGTCGTGCAAATATTCTGCAACTCGGTGATGGTGGTGTCTGATTTTCTCCTAGTGGCTGGATTGACTCTTAAAGTCATCCTCGCTAGAATTTTTGCATCAATTGGAAATCTTAGCCAAAGTTTTAGATAATGGGATATCTGAATGACATGGTATGGTGAAAATAATTTTTAAATTTCGAACCTTTCAACCGCTTCAAAAGATTAAAAATAAAAATCCTCTATATCTAAACAATGCGAAACAGATAGTAATTGTCTTATTTAGCAAAGTCGCAGAGATCACAGAGAGATCGATTCAATGAAGAATAGTTTGCTTATTTCACGCCATGTCATTGGCTCGACGTAGGTAGACCAAATGTAGATAAGTAAGAACTATGCTATGAGTACAGGAAAATTTCATAGAATACACACAGAAATTTGAAATTGATGGACTGGATTCAAATATGGAGGAGGGAAAACAAAGATACGCGCACATAATTTTTTCAATTCAAAATTCTGTACAAAATCTGACAACATTTCTTATACTTAAAAGGAATTATTAGAGAAGTATTCCTTTCCCAGTCTTCTTTTTTCTTGAAGGAGCATGCTACATGTACAAAATNATTTTGTAATCCATTATATACAAGATTTTGTACATCTAGATAAATCCTTTCTTGAAAGGGGTTTCCCTGGAATAATTTTTCTGTACAAAATCCTTCCATAAGCCTCGGTCCCAACTAATTTGCGCTCCCTCTCTCTCTCTAAAAAGTGGGAAGAAGAAGACAGCAAAACACACGCCACAGAAAATGCTTCATCCCGTCACCCTATGCCCATGAAATTATTATATATATACATGAATATATAGAATCATATATATAAATACAGGGAAGTATTTACGCTTCCACATCAGTACATGAGGTGCAAGAAGCATCCAGCGGACCTCAGTAGCAGCGCCGGCGTCTGCGCCTCCTGCCTCCGGGAACGGCTATTCTCCGTTATAGCGGCACAGGAGCAAGCCCTGGCTAAGAAACAGGCCCAGGCTCGAGCCCGAGGAGATCGCTTGAAATTTGATGCACAACAGCCCCCTCTTGCTTTTCCCCGGTCAGTTTCGCCGTATATTTCGCAACGGGAATCTGAAACTACCGCCGGTTACGATCAGACGTTCTACAGTAATCCTCAGGTGGGCCCAACTGGATCTATAGCAATTGTTGACAGTGGCATCAAGAAGAAGCGTGCCAGTGGAACAATTTCTTCTCTTTTTTCGGGTCTATTTAGATCCAAATCGGGGAAACCGGACTCAGATTCGGGTCAGAATTCAGAGCCTTCTGTTTCGGGTCAGTTGAATTCGCGGGATTCTTGTAATGCTTCTCCTTTGTGGTTTTCTAACATTATTCCCGGTCGGAGGAAAAAGCAGATTCGGACGTTTTCGCTTGATGAAAATACAATTGGTGCTCAACGGAGGACCTGCCGGAATCTCAACCGAGGAATGCCTCCTGTGAGATATTCCGACGAGGATGAGCATTGCCATGGTGGATCGAGCGGTTATTCGTCGGAGTCTTCTCAAGGGTGGAAGCGAACGACTCGGAAGACACCGGTAATGCGGCGTGGGGGAGGAAGGCAAGGGCATAGCAGAAATGTCTCTCACTTGGCGTTTTGTTTGAGTCCATTGGTCCGCGCCAGCCCAAACCGGCACTGGAATCACATGGTAGTGCCGCCAGAGATGGTTGTTGCCTGCGCAAGCGGAGAGATTAGAATTCCGACAGAGCCATATCTGTCCACTGCAGCGTCGCTTGGCAAGAATCGGTCCCGTAAACTCGCTGATTTCGGGAGGTACAATCCTAAAATTTAATCTCCATGACCGTTGACATTTGACCAAACATCATCGCCGGAAAAGACCGGCAACCATAATGAAAAGACGATTTTGCCCCTTGCTACGGTTTTATTACATCACTCTGTTCTTTATTATCAATTTTCATTACAGCAGCACCAAAAATAATAAAATTTATATTTTTAATTTCATATATTATACCGCTTGATATAGCTCAGTAATGTACGTTTGAGCGTGGTGAATTTTTAGTGGGGATAGTGGGTGCACTACAGTGGATGATCCAATGGTCCACCATCAAAAGTTGGGATCTTGCTTCATGTATATCATGAATTACATAATATTACATGACACTTTATCGTTTGTCAATTTAAAATATATTCAATTTTTTCATTTAATCTTTTTCCTCCACATTATAGTATGTAATTCCTTATTTACAATTTTGATGTACAAATAGTATAATCCTAAAAGTTAATGGTGTTTGAATTATGATGTGTCTATAATGCCTATAACAGGTTGACCATTTAATGTGATCTAGCTTTCGTTTGTTTATCATCTTTCATCCATAAAAATAAAAAATATGACCGTTATTCATCATATCAAGTCATCAATTTTGAATTTCTATCTTTTGTGTGGGCTCAAATAACGGTTATATTTTTCATTTTCATTCTACAATAATGAGAATCAAACGGGCCCCTAAAGTAAAATCATATTCACATTTTTTTTTTCCAATTCCAATGGAGATCATCACATGGTTGTTTGTTTTGACGATATTTTTGGTGAATGATGCCTATAAATGGGGAGGGGGATTTCCTAAGCACGCATCGATACTGAAGTCAATAATGCTGTGCAAAGAGCCGTCTTGATCGAGTCAAGTTTGAATTGGGTCTTTTTAATATGTTGCAGAAGAGACCCAACAATGTAAATGATAGGAAGGTTTATGCAATGAGGTTCTTGAAATCAGCGATTGATCCAGAAATTTAGGTGAGCACGAACAACCACTCAATATAAGGAAAAAAATTCAACAAAGCTAGCACGGGTAATGAAAGTTTTTAAAATTTGTCTCCCTCTAGTTTGAGCTTTTAATTTGGGTAGAAACCGTTGAGGAGGAGTAATTTCAAGGTCACATTCTGTATTTATTACATGAATTTACTTGTAAATTGTTGGTAGGTGTGGTTTACATCAAGAATAAAGCTCTTTTACTAGAAAATGTTAGACACATTCGTTGACATAAACTCACATGCGCGTGGGATCTGCGTGAATAAAAAATGTCAAAAAATGCTCTCCCCTATTTATAAGTGTGTTGTCAATGAGGGTGTCAAACCTTTTCTGACAGCATAGCATGATTGTTACAACAACTCTACGCAGGTAGTGTCGTTCTAACAATGATGTGACCATGAGGCTTTTTAACAGCGATCAGAAAAAAGTAGGTCACATAATCTAGGACCAAGGATGGATGTCTTGTGTCTGATGAGAAAAGTTGGTCACAAAATTACCAATAAATAATACAATAATCACTGTCTAGATTTCTTCCACACATGGTGAGTGTCAAATACCTTGTCAAGCTAGAATGTACATCTAACTTTATTGTTTTCCTTGAGGTAAGTCATCTTGAAACTCGATAAAGAATAAACACCCCTTGTGCTAATGAAATCTCTTTCCACATGCACGATGTATAGTATTAAGGCGTAACTCCCCAATGTGTGACTTATCCCTCGGACCTGAAATATTTACAGAGATCGCTCACCCTTTCCCAGCCATTCCGACCCTTGATCACTTCCATCTATAACTGGCTAAAAGAAAGATAATCGTAGTTTCTCAAGTTAAATGTATTGCATGTCATCCAATTTTAAATGAATGTGCATCTAGGTCACTCGTATTTAATTTGGTGTAATTAGTAAATCTAACTTCAATCTAGTCTCTCACATTCAAGTTGGTGCAAGTTATCGAATTTTGATTTACATGTAAATCTAATTATTTATAAATCGTTTGGTCAATTTACCTAATGTTGTATGATAGCGTGGACATTAAAACAACTTATGATTATTGATAAGTATATTTTATACACTTATTCGGGTCTAAAATATCTATATTTGATAGTTCTTTTGACAAAATATATTATAAATTGTTTTATTTTATGCGTAATAGGTGAAACTTTATGAATGAAAAGTGAATGGGAAGAAACCAAAGAAAATCAAAGAAAAATGGCAAAATCCAAAGTTTGAGAATCAAATTGTAAATATTCGATAGTTAATTCGGACCACAAGACGATACTTTGAAAATTGTTAAGAGACAATTGGATGTAATTAGAACTCAAAAATGAATTGAATATGATCAAAATATTATCAAAAATCAATTTCTAATCACACAAGTTATATTCGAAATTTTTAGTATAAGATTGAAATCCATTTTTGGCATAGTAAACGTTCTAAAAATCCTATTTCTACTAAAGTTTCACCCTTTGAGTTATCTTTCTAAAGCACTTTGAATTGCCTCAATCGGATATCATACGAGAAATTTATGGCCAAAATACTGACTGATGTACAATGAAAAAAAAATCCGTGCGTGATGACAACTTTCCTTATTCAATTAAAAGTCTTTTGGAAACCGATTTGAACATGATTTTCAACCTGTTTTCTACTCCTACAAATAACTACCAGCAGAATATATATTAGACACCTCTCATCTATATATTATACTCCAATATTCATCGATTATTATCAAAAAAGGAGAAAAAATTATAGTTTTTGTGAGATAATTGAAGGGGACTTATAAGAATTCAATTAAGTGAAAATTCAAACTTAATTTTTGGACAAAGAAGAGAGAGACAAGTTGTGAAGTTGAGATTTATCAAAAAAAATCATTGAAAAGATTCAAGATTTTAAAATTCATCTTCATTTATCAAAAATTCGGGGTTATGTCTTTTTACTTAAATATTATTCCTTATAATTTCGATATTTTATGCTAGTTTTATACATTGTTAAGATGAGATGAACCCTTGTTATGATATTTTAGATTTTAATTACTTATTTTGACTTTAATTTGATTTGATTTATGGATATTTATTATCGTTTTTATCGTTATTTTCAATTACTTGATTACCTATTGAATTGTTAGTGAATTTTATTGTTATCGTGAGAGACAATATGGTTTAAACACAACATAATAAATATTGTATGGTTTGATAGATAATAGAGATATACATCTATACTTTATATGGTTTCAATAGGTGTTCTACCGTTTGTTCATGTATTTTATCATGTTTGCATCTTTTATCGAGAGATTGAAGAGTCACATGAGGGCAATAGATTTGATCGCTATCGAGAGAGGCTTTCAATTAAATTAGGAACATTGATCAACATGAATGATTTCAAATTTTCACTTTAATTGTTACATTAAAAATGGAATAATAAATGGGATTCGACATTTTAGAAATGTATATCACATATTTGAAAAATACATTTACTTACTTTCATTAGTTTAATTGATAATTTAAGGATTAGTGTTAAAAATCACAAAATATAGAAAGCTATAGTTATAAATTACAAATTTTATAGATCACAATTTATTTATTAGTAAAAAATTATCAAATTAATATGTCACATATTATTTCTCGGCCACTAATCCAAATTTTATAGATAATAACTTTTTTTACGGTCACAAATTATCAAATTAATTAATCAAGAATCATTTTTCGATCATAAATTATCAAACTATGGTCACAAACTGCAAGTCATGATTACAAATTTAGTAGCAATCTCACCTTTTTAGGGTCACATATTATTTATTGATCACAAATTATCTATTTCGTCAATCACAACTATCCAAATAATAATCACAAGTACTCCCACTACCTCATCGCCATTGCCGCCACCGCCACCGCCACCACCACCACCACCACCACCAAAAACTCCAGCACCAGATCGTGACCCATTTTGCCAAATTTTCCCTAGATCACCTCATTCATTGTGTTGTAGCGACACTCACGCCATTGTAACGGTGTTATCACCGCAATGGCGCTTACCACTGTGAGCGTTGCTACAATGGTCTACCTATGATGATTTTTGTCTAACACGCTACTGTTTGATAATATTTGTGCAATGTAGAAAATCCAACTCAGAAATTTTCAAGAAGCTAAGAAATCAAGCTACATGACTCAGGAGGAAAAATTATATTTTAAAAGAGAACCATAAACTTGAGATAATAAAAAAATGTACATCACATCCCAAGCTATGAATATATCAAGTCCAATTGCCACGTGTTCTTAAAAAAAATTTAAAAATCACTTAAGTTCGTAAATAATGCAAGAAAATAAAAATCTCGAATTGCAAAGAATGAACGCTTTGATTCATCAACTTATATTATAATTCTAGCTTGAACTTTTTGATACATAGAAATTAGCCCAAATTGCAAAAACTAATATGCACTAACCTAAGAAATGCAATAATCTGATATGAGGCGAGAGGTAAAAAAAAAAAAAAAAAAAAGTAGGAGACAATCTTGATTTCTTTGGGTTAGAGTCAAGAGTTTCTGACGAATTACTACCTGAATTTGAGTTTTTCGGTTTTGTATTTTTTTTTTTTACCAGCCTATAATTTGTAAAAAAACAAAATATCATATAAAAAATGGTTCCATTTGGGATCTCATGATTTTGGTTCAAAAACTAAGAACCGACCAAGACCCAATCGATTTTCGATTCTGGTTCGTAATTTTTTTTTTTTTTTTTTGAAATCAAGCTCAAACCTTCGATTTTGATTCGATTTCAATTCATAAGGTTTGGTTCCGATTGAACACAAGCCTAATTATTACAAAAATCGAAATTTTTATATCGTACTATTCAATCATATTAATTCCCCATTTCTTTTAATCGAATACAAATAAAATCACATTTACATAGCTCCTCGAACCACATTTTTTTAAACAAATCAGAGCCAATTCAAATTGATCTTGTAAAAAATCTTTACATAATCATACAAACGCACACAAATAATTTTGGAAGGCATACATACAACAATATTATATAC